TTTGAAAACATTTTGCTTCTCATCCAAGAAATCCACTACTCTACTCACAATAGAATCCCTTATGCCTCCAGGCTTGAAATTTTGCACTTGGACAATCTGGAACTGTACTGCCTGCAGTCCAATCTAAGCATAGTACACAAAATTGTCTGCTACAATGGCTTACCTGTCAACTTCTTCAGAGTCAACTACAATAATACATGGGGAAACGATCAATATAAACTCAAGGTAAACCACTTCAAACTCGATTGCAGAAAATACAACTTCAGCAACAGAGTGGTCAATGCCTAGAATGACTCCATTGTTACAGCCTCAAACCCTCACAGCTTCAACTTCAAACTGTCTACTGTGGACCTCACCCCATTCCTAAGAGGTCCTTAAAGGGGGCGTGCATAAGTGCACCAGCGTGCCTACCGTCCCTGTCTTACTGTCCCCATTTATCTGCATTTACTTCCTTTGTTCATGTTTATGTTCATACTTACACTTGTTATCTTGTACATGCTTGACAAACAAACAAACAAACAAACAAATAAACTCTTCAGCTCTGAAGAAGAGCTGAAGAAGCTTCTTGGATGAGAAGCAAAACGTCTTCCAAAAAAAAAACAACAGAAAGGCCAGCTGCCTACTGAAAAAGCACTTTGGGGACTTCAGCGATGGAGTACCAACAACTTCTGTTCCACTGATTAATTGTTCTCACCACCAGGAAATTCCTCCTTAGTTCTAAGTTGCTTCTCTCCTTGATTAGTTTCCATCCATTGCTTTTTGTCCTGCCTTCTGGTGCTTTGGAGGACCTTTGGTTGACCCCCTTGGATCTGTGACTACATCTGACTTCTCTTGTACTTACAGAAGCCCTGAGAGTGGATAAAGGTTAATTTTAGTGGATTGTGAATGGGGAGGGCTTAATGGCATACTGTTCTCCCAAACCTTTCTATCTCCTCCAAGCCCGGGCCCCACTCACTTTTGCAAACTTCAATCAGTTGCTACAGCTGTCGAGTTGAAATAAGCACTCCTCTGCTATGAGATATGTTTTTTTTTTTAATAAAAACGATCAACGGAAGTGTTTCATCTGCCGGTGGAATTTATCTTCACCCTTAATTACAATTGATCTTGACATAAATAAACAAATTGAGTTCTCTCTCTGCTGAAACTCTGTTATTAAACACAAAGGTCTGGAATCTGCATATTTACGTTGGCCTAGGTGCTTTTTGTTATTCAGTTACAGAAAGCAATTAGAAGACTTAGATTAGAGAACTGATTAGCAATAAATCTGGAATATGATGGGTTTTTTTTTTAAAAAAAAGAACTGCTGAAGAGGGGAGGAATTAAATTGTGCAAAGCTTTCAATTCTAGTTAGTATTGGCATGAGACATGTTGGTAAATGAGATGCAAAATGTCCACAACCTCGCATTCATTAATGGAGAAAAGACCAATGTGTTGGTTTCCAACACAATCTGCATGAAATTAGAAAGTGTTTCTCCTGTCTATTATATATTCTGTTATGTGTTTCTACTGCTTGTGATAAATCCTTTTGCACCTGTTCCATAAGGACTCCTAAAACAGGTCCCTTACCCTTCCTTTCTGAACAGGTTACCTTTAATAACTCCAAACTGCTTCCTGCTTCTACAGCATGGGTGTCAAACTTGGGGCCTCATGTTGCCATCACGTGACACATGATGTGATGTTATGATGTCATTTCATGACATTTTTCCCATTCCAACAGCTGGGGTGGGCGTGGCCTGCACATGACACATCCAGCCAGCGGGCCACCAGTTTGACATCCCTGTTCTACAGAAAAGCCAATGCAATCATAAGTTGCATTAACAGAGGGATACAATCAAGATCCAGTGAGGTGCTAATACCACTCTGTAAAGCCTTAGTAAGACCACACCTAGAGTACAGCATCCAGTTTTGGTCCCCACACTATAAAAAAGATGTTGAGACTCTAGAAAAAGTGCAGAGAAGATCAACCAGGATGATTAGGAGACTGGAGGCTCAAACATATGAAGAACGGTTGCAGGAACTAGGCATGGCTAGTCTAGTGATGAGAAGAACCAGGGGAGAAATGAGAGCATATTCCAATACTTGAGGGGCTGCCACAGAGAGGAAGGGGTCGAGCTATTTACCAAAGCACCTGAAGGCCAGAGAAGGAATAATGGGTGGAGTCTGACCAAGGAGAGATTCAACCTAGAAATAAGGAGAAACTTTCTGACAGTGAGAACAATCAACCAATGGGACAGAAGTTGCCTTCAGAAGTTGTGGGAGCTTCATCACTGGAGACTTTCAAGAAGAGACTGGACTGCCATTTGTCAGAAATGGTATAGGGTCTCCTGCTTGGGCAGGGTTGGACTAGATGACCTACAAGGTCCCTTCAAACTCTATTAATCTGATATCTGTAATTAGGATTTCACAAAAAAAAAAAAAGACTAAAATATTGTCAGGGAACCAGTTAAGATGACCAGAGATCATCTCTCGGGGACAGTCAACAGCAGATTTTGAAGCCATGCCACAAATCTGGAAAATGATTGAGCTTTTTCTAAACTCTACTTCTAGCACTTTTGAAGGATCCCCACAGCCAAGGACACATGGACACTACCATGACATCAGGGATGAAGGGACTCAATCTTACTATTTGTTATAGTGCTTAGTAAGGTGTTTGGGCAGGGCTTAAAATTTATGCACAAAAATACCAGGAACAAAAAAGCTGCTTTGGTAGAAATGATATTATTATCCTTGGAAAAGAAGCAGACAGGAATTTGAAAGAAAAAAACAGATAATGTTTGAGGGCAGATAATGAGTGAGTAGGCATATATAAAAGGTTAGATAATGTCTTCATGTTCACTGCTTCAAATCAAACATTTATTAAGGGTCACAGAGTATGTTAACGAAGATGATGTTATCCATTCAGTCATGTTTGATTCTTGATGTGTCAGAACTACCATCATTCACTTGAGCTTTGCATTCGCTAGCTGTCAATCTGCCATGAGCTATGGCGGGTGGAGATGGAGGTGGTCAGGAGGGGGAAAGGCTAACTAACTAAGACCCATGGTAGCACAGTGGTGAGAATGCAGTACTGCAGTACTACTTCTGGTGACTGCCGGTTTCGTGCAGTTTGGCAGTTCAATTCTCATCAGCTCAAGGTTGACTTCCATCCTTACGAGATTGATAAACTGAGGACCCAAATTCTTGGGGGCAATTTGCTGACTCTGTAAACCTCTTAGAGAGGACTGTAAAGCACTGTGAAGTGGTATATAAGTCTAAGTGCTATTGCTACTCATCATTCTTTCCAGAGACACCATATCAAGGTCAAAACTCTGGGAATGGAATATAATGGGTCACCAACAAACCCACCATTGAAGGGACAATTCTCAAAACAATTTATTCAAATGTAATTGAACAACAAGGGACTAGCAAGGGGAAAGAACTGGGTGGGGGAAATTAACCAGAAAAAATTGCCGTGAAAATTTCAATTCTGGTTTTTCTATACTGTAATCCACTTGGCTTTCAGTAAAGTAAACCTTTCACACCAAACGGAATTGAGGGTCATTCTTACTTAAGAGACCAAGTTGGGGCAGGACCGACATGACGATTCTATAGGCCATGTTTTTCCACATCTTCTGATCTGGAGTTGTTTTATGTACTGGCTGGTATCAACATATCTCCGTTCCTTTTTTTTTTAGCACAAATGATCCCCTTTTCCCATATGTTTCCCCTACTTCTCCCTACTTTTGTGGATTCATTAGCTCTGACATTTTCTACGAACACTTTTTCCGGAAAGAGCTTGAGGGAAACACGGCATACATTATTTGGTAGACTTAATTCTGCTCCATCAGAGCTAAAATGGCAGTGTAAAAGTGTAGCTCATATGGAAAAAGATCAGAGACATTTTTTTTATGGTTCATCCATTAAGGAACCTCTGCATACAAACGTACTTTTAATCTGTACACCAACTCAAAATTATCCCTTTGTAATCAAAATGTTTCAGGCAGAGATATGGTTTTTTTTTTCCAAACCCTTCTAACTGTTCAGAAAGAGTGCAGAGAAGGACAGCAAAGAGATTAGGGGGATGGAGGCTAAAACATATGAAGAACAGTTACAGGAACTGGGTATGTCTAGTGTGATGAAAAGTAGGATGAGGGGAGACATGATAGCAATGTTCTATGCCAGTGTTCTATGCCCCAAAGAAGAGGGAGTCAAGCTATTTTCCAAAGCACCTGAAGGCAGAACAAGAAGCAATGGGTGGAAACTGACCAAGGAGAGAAGCAACTTAGAACTAAGGAGAAAATTCCTGACAGTTAGAACAATTAATCAGTGGAACAATTTGTCTCCAAAAATTGTGGCTGTCACAACAATGGGGATTTTTAGGAAGAGACTGGACAGCCACTTGTCTGATATGGTACAGGTCTCCTGCTTGAGCAGAGAGCTGGACTAGAAGGCCTCTAAGGTTCCCCTCCAACTCTATTATTCTGTTATTTATTCTCTCACTCCGACATTCGGAAAGAAACAAGGAATGTTTCTTTCAAATAAACAAATAGCACTTGGACTCATATATTACTTTACAGTGCTTTTACAGCCCTCTCTAAGCAGTTTACAGAGTCAGCATGTTTTCCCCAACAATATGAGTCCTCATTTTACCCACCTCTGAAGGATGGAAAACTGAGTTAACCTTGAGCCTGGTGAGATTTGAACTGCCAAATTCCAGGCAGATTTGAACTGCCAAATTCCAGGCAGCCTGCAGTCAGCAGAAGTAGCCTGCAGTACTGCACTCTAACCACTGCGCCACTGCATCTTATATAAATAAATGTGGCTCAAATAAATAACTCTGGCAAATAAACAATTGAAAAAGTAAATGTGGGTGGATAATGATTACTTAGAAAATAGGCGCTAGTCACCCAGGTTTTTTCACATTTAGGGCTCCTAAATAATTCATTGTTTAAGTGTCAAAAGTTACATTTAACATGCTCATGCAGAAATCCATAAAAAAGTACAAAAAGGGGTTTTTTTACCTGAAAATTTTCCTTCCTTACAGCGGGCCGGTCCACAGATCCCAACAATGGGTCTTTGGCCTCTCCCTTGCTGTTCTGGAGGAAAATTGGATCTGTGAGTTAAAAGAAGGAACAGGCTATTTGACCCAGCCCAACCACCCTTTTAATTTAATCATTATTTTAAAATTACAACAGTCATTCTTAAATGAAACCTGATAAATGTAAGCCATGCTCCATATACCACATGGATCTTGAATGGTTTGAAATCTGGAAACAGTTTATTGTCTGTATTTAATGCATTTGAAATGTGGCTATTTGGTTTATAACATGGATGTCAAACTCATGCCAGCACGTTGATATTGTGCGTGATGCATTCGGCCTGTGGACTGCCAGTTTGACACCCCTGGTTTATAAGGTAGTCCTTGAATTATAGCAATTCATTTAGTCACTGTTCGGCATTACAATGGCACTGAAAAAAAGTGACTTATGACCATTTTTCACACTTACAGCCATTGTAGCATCTCCATCAAAATTCACACACTTGGCAACTGACTCATATTTATGACGGGATCATGGGGTCCCCTATTGTAAATTTTTGAGAAGCAGTGGGGAAGCCATATTCACTTAACATCCATGTTATTAACTTAACAACTCAGTGATTCACTGAACAACTTGTGGCAAAAAGATCACAAAATGGGGCAAAATTCACTTAACAACTCTCTCACTTAGCAACCAATTTTTTTGGCTCAGTTGTGGTCATAAGTCAAAGTTTACCTGTATTTATTTGTTTATCAAATATGTTTGATGGCCATCTTGCCATAAGGCAACTCGGGGTGGCTTACAACATTAAAGCGAAACCTTAAATATATGTATAAACGTATAAAATCACAATAAACATAAACACAACATTTGTGAATGTCTATGTTCTCCATGTCATGGTTGTCTCAAAGGTGCTTTTTTTTCAAGAGCTGAAGAAGCTTCTTGGATGAGAAGTGAAATGTCTTCAAATTAAAACCAGAAAGTCCACTTGCCTCTTGAAAAAAAGCATATTTGGGTCAACCTTTGTGACAATTCCAAAGTTTTGCTCAAAAGTTGTTAGCTTTCCTTAGTTTATTTCACTGAGTTGTATCTTTGACAATGCAAAATTAAAATTCTACTATGCTTAGAAACTTTTTTTTAATATAAATTTTATTTGGGTTTTATACACACACACACACACACACACACACACACACACCAATAGTAAATAAAACATTCATTCCATTCCAATTCAATTCTATCATTAATATTAGTTAGAATCATAATGTCTTTAACAATTCTTTTCAATTGAATATCATACTTCCTTGGGAACACTTATAAACTTTCAATAATTAAGCTTAGAAACTTTTCAATACACAAATGGCTTTTTGTTTCCAGATTTCAAACTGAGACATGCCTTCATTTCATGTTAGAACAAAATATTCAAACCCATTACAATTTTTCATTCGAAGATTTCTCAATACGTGTTTCGGCATAAAATCCAGTGGCTGTTTCAGTGGGCTTGTTACCAGCAAAGGACAGATCAAAAGAATTCTATTTAACTCTCTCCTCATCCCAGTCCCAATGAGAGTTTGCACTCTTGAAACTTGCACACTCTGCTTGGAACACAAAAATGCAACCATTCCAACAACCATTCTTCATTGTACTGATTACTCCAAGTTTGACAGACTCCCTGGATTTATAGCAATGCCGAAGCATGCAAACAAGTATGAATGGAGGATACCTTAATCTCCATTGATTGATTTGCAGCTAAGTTCTTAACATGGATAGGAGTGACACTCTTAACACAAACCCATTTTGTTCCACATCCATTAACTGAAAGATCAAATGAAATATTTGAGCATGTCCTAGATGGACACTATTTGGAAATAGGCTGGCTGCATTACGCCATGTTTTGTTCAGATGTGATTTACTGATTATAGCACATTTTATCCTAGAATGCACAGAGTCGTAAATTATAGTTCATAAAGCATAAGCCCAAATTAAAAAAAAAAATATGGCTTAGAGAAGATCTACACAGTCATTGTATAGGAAAATTAGAGTTTACACAGTCAGATTAATCCGCTGTCTACTCATTCAAAAGGCCCGACTTATTCTCTATTCATTATGTCAGAAAGGTTACCTTGCCCAACACTGCTGTTCAAATTCCTTTTTCTTGGAATACTATGTTTTAAAAATAAACCTGTTATATCAGGGGTCACCAGCCTGGGGCCAGATTCAGCCTGTGGGTTGCTTAGATCTGGCCCAAAGATCCACCCTGGAAACAGCAAAGGATTGGCTCACGGTTCCTCTGCCAGTGAAAACTGAGCTTTTCATTGGCAGAGAGTTGCAGGGGGCCGTTGCAGCCCCAAAAAGAGGTTCTGAGCGGCATGGGCAGCCCTCCTGAGCTCTGTTTTCACTGGCAGGGGGTTGCAGGTGCCCATTTTTGCTGGCAGAGTGCTTGGGCCACCACAGGGCCCCCAACACAAGTGACACACCCACCCTGGCCATGCCCATCCCAGTCTCCCAAGGTCAAACAGAACCGTGATGTGGCCCTCAATGAAATCGAGTTTAACACTCCTGCGTTATATCATAGCAAGGCTCCACCTAAGGAAATGCATTGTCTAACAGCTTTGGATGACACGAAAGTTGCAGCTGGCCCAACGTGCAGACGATGGAACAATCCCACCACCATAGTTCAGTGTTTCTCAACCTTGGCAACTTTAAGATGGACTCTACCTCCCAGAATTCCCTAGCTTAAGCTTGTCAAGTTTGAGAAACACTGTCATAAAGTAACACCAAGACTAACACTACTGTGCCAGTTATGATAGAGTTCCAGGTTCGCTCAAACTATTGGTGATGGCCTTCGAAGCCGTACATGATGCCCAAATTACCTCAGGAGGCAACTCTGATTATCTGTTATATCTTTTAAGATTAAATGTCTGATAACAACATGGTGAGAAGGCCTCACGCCATACAAGATTAGAAGACGTGGACTACACGATAGATGACCCACCTGTTGTGGGTCCTGTCCTCTTTGTTCTGACAGGTTCACGAAGCCTTTCCTACTCATCATTCTATACAAGTATCAAAAGAAGTTGGTTCAACAAGTTGAACTGAGCATTTCTGTCAGCTATTGGGGGAGGTTGAACGTGTCTGTTCTCTTATGAATTGGAGTTATTCAGAGTCTGTAGATAGGGACAGATTGCAAAGACTATGAAATAAATAATTCTTACAGTTGGTTTAACAATATCCCTTGGCCTCATCTTCCTGAAATATCCACCCTCTATTTACTTTGAATCAACCTTTACATACAGCTGTTAACTACCAGTTTCCAAACAATGAATACATTTCCCTAGCTGAATACTACAGTGTCTATTTTGCTGGGGCAATATATTACCCTATTTTTGTGTTAATTAGTGTTTGATATCAAGGCCAAACTACATGTTATATGGGAGATTCATAATCACAAGCGAAGAAAAAAATATCCCAGGAAGAGTTAGTCCATTTCCTGAAACAAAACAAAACGGGAATAAAGGGAATAAAAACATACATCGGTACTCCCAGCTGTCACTACACATATGGAAATTGAGCTGGATATATCCTATTTTTGCATTTTAAGGCCAATATGATTGAAACAAAGATGAATTTATGGACGTTTACAGATTTTTACAGATCCATGTCTCTTTTAAACAAAGCTTTCATTTCTTACAGATGCCAAAAAACCAAAAAATGTGTTTTTTTCCCCCTCTACAGAGTTATTACCTAAAATGTTTTAATAACCTTTCTGTGATTAAACCTAAAAAAGTAATCATGGCCAGCATTTCAAAGCCCGCTTCATTGTATTTTGGTGATTCAATTTGTAAAAGAGAAAAATTGAAACATTGCTTTGCGTTCTTTCTCGAAAACAATAGAATGAGGACGTTATTTGTGAAATAATGCTGGAAATAGGATGTGTTATTGCTTAGTAACAAGCATCTTCCCTATGATGCTACACAGTCCTGTCTGCTAATGAAAACACATTGTTGTTGTTCGCCCAGTTTTCATTAGGCATATTCATTGGCAAGTGGCAGCTTCTAAAACGGAGGTATAGCGACATGATGAATGGCACAACTATGATGGCATACGGACGGTATTAATTATACGACATTAAAGTATTGACTAATGCAGCTCTGTCCACAATAGGAAAAGCATTAAGCACATGACTCCTGTATTTGAAAGAACAGAATGCTAAAATCAATGAAGGGAGAAGAAGTATTCTTGGCTGCAAAGTCTACTAAGCATGCCTACTGTCAATATTCAGAAATCAAGGTTCTGACACAGATAAATAGCTTCCATTTGCCACCATCTTTCTGCAATCTTGTTACCTTTGCTTGTGCTGATGTGTTGGTCTTTCTCATGTGAGTAAGCTGCAAATATTACTGAGAAGCTAAGAGGAACCTGTCAATCATTGCCTTGCCACTGTTTCAAATATTGTAAGGAGTTGGTTTCCAGACTGATGGAGTTTTGAGAGACCATTACATAAAGAACCTGGTGAAAATTGACCTCCAAGGTTCCTTCCAACTCTGTTATTCTTTGATTCTAGGATTCTTGGTCCCAAGGCTGCTTTTTCAAAAGCCAACTGGGCTTTCTTGTTTTTCCTTGAAGACATTTCACTTCTCATCCAGGAAGCTTCTTCCATTCTTCCATTCTTTTTTCTCTCCAAAGTTTTTTTTTAATTATTTGAATGCATCTTTGAGAGAACAGTGTGGTTCCAGGTGTTTTACATTTTAAATCCATATCCATAATCACAAATACAGCTTTCTAACATTACATCATTATCTATTACCAATCTTTATATTCTCCTACATTACTTTGTATCAGTCTCTTTATTTTGGATCAATCTCTATCTTCCTTAGTCATATATTCTTATATTGAACATATTTACTATTTAATCTATCCATGTCAATTCATTAGTCATTAGAGCTTTCTAACATCACATCATTATCTATTACCAATCTTTACATTCTCATACATTACTTTGGATCAATCTCTTTATTTTAATCAATTTCTATCTTCCTTGATCTTATATTCTTATA